ACTTTGCTTTGTAGGGTCGGGGGAGGAAGTGTGAGAGAAGACCTGTCAGAAAAAGGCAGCAAAAAGCAAGACCCGGCCTGTCAGCCCAGGCAGATCTGCCTTTGCTCACCTGCCATTTGAGGAATCTTCCATAGGACACTGGACTCTGTCCCTGAGCCTCTCCTTTCTATACAGACACTGTCCGTACCTCAAAGGTTACCTATCCTTCCCCTGGTTATTATTATTAAAAATAATCCTAATGAAAGAGTTCAGCATGAAATCCCAGGCCTATTAATGAATCAACGTTTCTGCAATTTGTTGTCAAATTCAATTTATTTTTAAAAGCTGCATGTGGTTTGCTCATTAGAATAACTTTGCAATTAACCTTCCTGCCAGTGGCATTAGAGAGTAAAGAAAACCTTTAAATCAATTAAGCTCTTCATTTACAGGTTCCACTTCCATCTTGAGCACTATTAGATACTGATTACCTCAATTATTTTGTCAATAATATGTGCACAATTACATTAGAAGTTCCTTAAAAAAAAGGTTTCAGAAACTCTGCATGGGAAAGTCATGCAACTGCCCCAAAATCATACCAGAATCCCAGACTCTAAGAGGAAATAAAAAACTCTTTGACCAAAAAACACACAAAAAAATGAGAGAACAGATTATCAGATGAAATCACCTGATGCCTTGGACGAAAACCTAACTGAGTCAAAATCTGAATGGTTTAACTTAAGATAGGCTACTGGTTAAAAAGGTGGTTATGACAGACTTAGTATTTGCAAAATTTATGTTCGCAAAACTTTGAGTCCCCTGAGATTTTAAGAGATGTAACCATCATTCAGGGAAGTTTAATAGGGCATGAAATCTGCAGAAAAGCAATCTCTTTTTTGAACACCACATTACCTTTTTTATGACCCAAAAAGTGCACTAACGGACAGAAAAAAAAAAATTCAAAATGTCCTCAGAAAACAGCCATTATGTTACCATCTGAATAAGAGCAACTCCACAACCCTAGGGCTTTTCATTGCTTTCATCACAAGAGAGAGAAAAATCAGGAGAGAGCATTTCAATGCCATACACAATTGTGGCAGACCTGCCCTGGTTGTATGTAAAACAGTACATAATTTGGCCACACTTGATCAGAATAGCAGTCTAACAAAACTAATGTCTTGTCTTTAGAAATTGCCTATGCTTTACACTTTAAAAATGATGGAGGAAAAAACTAATTTGCCTGGACAATTTGGCAATTGGTGGTGGCGCAAAGAAAAAGAATAGGGACAACTCTTTCCATACCTTATAGCCATCAGCCTGCAACTTTCAGCATTAAATCTCTCTATTGCTATATAGCACATCAATTTGGAAACATAAACATTACTTATAAAACCATTTAGCTCACAATAGCTGCATTCCCTTATTTTTCATAAAGTTTTGGGTGCATTAAGTCAGAACACTCTGGACATCAATTTAAGCTTGCACCAGTAAGGACCAGTTTTTTTTTCTCCAAATATATGTTATAATTGTAAGCTTTTCAGGACAGGGACCACCTCTTAGGCAGCTTTTAACCCTACAACACAGAGGGTTTTTTTTTTTTTTTTTTTTTTTAAGGTTATGAAGACTTGTAGTTGCAATATAGTAAGCTGCTCAAATTTCAAGTTACTCATTTTATCCATGAATGCTATGGACATGATGCAGTCCTCAAAAGGGAAAAGCATCAATGGTTACATTAAGTGGCAACGAGCCCGTTATCCCCACAGTACAAAAATCTCTGCCTTCCAGAACAACTTAAAGGTCTCTTGTAGCTTATTAAACATAAAATTGCACCTCTTATTCACCACCATAAGAATATGTTTTCAAGTTCAGGACACTAGTTCAGTAGTTCCTGCTGGTATTATGTCTTTGGCATGGTCTAACAAAATCTCAGTGTTTCAGTTATTATGACTTTGGAAGGATTTCAAGACATAAAAAGCAACAGAAGAGCCATACCAACTTTACTGACTGAGTCTTTCATAGTTAAAGTCTAATTGAAATCAGCTCGAACAACCTCCATATAAATTACTATTTAATGTAAAACACGGATACTCAAATAAAGAGCTAAACTGTATAGCCTTTGAAAATATCAAGACAAAAAAAAAAAAAGAGCGAGAACAAAAGAAAGCGAATATTTATCTGTATCAAGATTAAAAGGAGCTTGGGGACGTTCCAAGTACAGGGCAGTGATCACAAATGCCACAGCGCTGTGTGCATGCCCAACGCTTTCGTAGATTTTCATGAAACTCTCCGAGTGCTGTTCAAGCGCAAAACCAGGAAAATTCTAGCAGTGCTGGTATTCCACAGAATAGGTTGCATGTGCAGTACACGTGCAAGTAGTTCCTTTCTGCAACAGAAAACAGCTACAAAAAAGCTTTTTTTTTTTTTTTTTTTGGGGGGGGGAGGGGGCAATACAGCTTTCCTTATCATTCTTTCATCAGTATCTCATGGCTTATTTCCTCCTTTGGTTTAGGTGCTGAAGGAGGCAGCACAAATCCTGCACTCCCGTAACAAGGCCAGTGGGCTCCACCACGCTGCCACGGGGCCTAGGTGCTCTGCGCAGCCCTTACTGCAGATTTTAGCTTTGTGGGTGCGTTTCCTGTTTTTGCTCCTCACCCACTGATCTTCAGATTTGTTTTGTTGTCCCCTTTCTGGTTTGCAGCACCACTGCTCTCTGCTAGGTTAATGTTATACCAAAAAAAAAAAAAAAATTCCAATTCATAAAAGAATAAATTTATAGGAGTTCCTTTTAGAAAATGTCTCTTAAAGGGGCTCATAAATCATCAGACAGTTTACAAGGCATTTAAAAATGGAGAACATATAAATGCACATAGAATATAGTATCATGAATTTTTCCCTTAAAACTAGACTATGGGTAGATAAAAACATGCACATACCATACTAAATGGGAGCAGAACCAACCGTCCATTTGCTTCAGCTGCTACAAATTATCGACTGTAACAAACTTATACTTTCCCAAGCCTTACTCTGCCAAACGGTCTGATCTGAAAATCAGATTAAGCAGCTTTATATTTTATTTTCAAGTTACTTTATTTATTTGTAGAGAATATTAATTTTTAGCTGTGGCATATTTTAATTTAAGAGGAGCTTTTGCTTGCCAATTTCTCATACTACCCTAGCATTCCACTTGAAAAATAAACCAAATAAATCTCAGAGTTATTCAAATCTCTAAAGAGATTATATTCTTTCGCTAAATTTAATTTTGCTTTAACACAAACCTCATTATGTTGTGCTGGCATTTTAAGTCTAAGACAATTTGTTCAAACGTTTTACGGCTATCTGTATCACTGCTGAATTTGACTCCTGACGTCTTTGTGCAGCGCCCTTCGCTTGCTCAGCACCACCCTTTGTTGACCAAAGATAAACGTGACTTGTAATTCTGGACTCCTTGCTGCATTCTTATTCAGATACAAAAAGAAGCAGTGCTGAGCACGTGCTGATGAAGATAAGATAACAGGGAAGATAAGGTTCAATGCCGTAGCCTCAAGAAAGCCTCAAGCTTTGAGCAGGGATTCAACAGCCGAGCAAATCTGTGCCACTGCATCATATGATATTCCTAGGTATTATCTCAGCAATCTTGGAGCAGTTTGGATGGCAGTTTTCTTTCAGAGAAGCAAAACAGGTGGTCAGTCTTCCCTTAAGATTGTCTTCCTTTAAGAGGCCATAAAAGAACCTTCGGTTGACAAGATGGAAGTGAGAGCTCCACTTTGTAAAATGAAAGAGAACTTCTTTCTTTTGATTTACACATACATATGAAAACAACTGCGCCTCTCCGTGTGCTTCAGGCACTTTGAATACTTGCAAATTTCAACACATTGAAAAGCCCAAATATAACTATAGTTATGTTAAACTGAATAACTAAACAACCTTCTAGCAGCAAACAGAACAACTCAGTTCCAAATAAAAATATACATATATATCTACACATGAAAGGGCCAGGCTGCTTTTTATCCGGTGCCAGAAGTGTACTATATGAAGATCACAATAACTGATCTATTTTGGCCACGGCAGGGATAGGACAGCATATTCAAAAGCTCTAATATCTTCAAAGACAACATATTTTTAGATTTTATTCTTATCTATTCTATCGGGGCATCAGTTCTAGCAATCCCTCTCTCTCTGCTGATGTAACAAACAAATTTTCAGACACCCTTTTTCGGATTGTCATCATTAATGGTTGTACAAGTCATTGCCAATACTTGAAAACATCCCCCATAACAAGACAGCACAGTCCAAGGAACACAAGAAGGGGTTTTCTAGACCAACATGCTCCAGCCTTGGAGTGACAACAGCACAAGAAGTCTTCATCTACTGATCATGTTTGATTAGAGAGCTGAAAAAAGGGCTCCTTGCTAAGCACAGCTGGATAATTTTTAAAAACAACAGGCTACATGAATGCTTTCAGTGATTCTCACCTTTTCTATTTTTTTGAACTAAGCATTTGGCCAGATTCAAAAGGAGAAAGAATGCTATGAAGTCCTGGACATTTTAGGAAAGACCCCAGTATTTTCACATCTGCCAAATCTCTTTATTATTTAAAAAGTTATTACATGCCTCTGCTTTCTGTTTTTTTTTCTTTTATCTCCATAGTCTTGTCCCAAAGAAACCATGTAGCACTTTCGTTGTCTCCTGATGTGCTCTGACTCCCACGTATGCTCTGAATTCAGTCTGTTTTCTCACCATTTTTTTCATTATAATGGCAATAAAAACATTTTGTACATAGAGGGGAAGCAAAAAGTTATAGCGCTAATGCATTCCAGTTGTTTGCTTTAGAGCAGGCTAAAAGAGTGGCCGACATTTACTACCAAACAAATTTACTTCATCATAAATGCAATCCATTACGACAAGAATGGAAATACCATTACCCCTTTTAACATTATGCTAGGGCTTCTTTCTGTCTGCTAGGAAGCCTCATTATACGAGTCCCATCGTGCCAAGGACAGACCAGTCTTTTTCCAGACACTTACCCTCTGACAGCATGAATAAGTCTCAGTGATGGATAGGCGGTTCGCACTTTCAATTTATTCTTAAGGATTAATGCATTAACCCACTCCACATGCTTCTCTCCGCCTTTGACCATGAAAGCAGGAATCCAAAGGACACTGTCATTCAGCATGGATAGTCTATGCACAAATTTTTCTCTGTCACTCTCATTCCGAAAGCCTCCAAACGCTCTTTGTACAACTGATGGGTTCATGGTAATAAAATCAGATTTAGCTCCCACATCTGCAGCAAACTCCACCACAGGAGCTAGATTGCACCTGAAGAGGAAGAAATTAATGGAAAAAAATGAAAATAAATATGAAACATTAACTCAGAAAAATGTATGCATGAAAGAAAAGCTGAAAATGAACACGCAAGCCCATTTCATACTATGTGTGAAAAAAATACCAGTGGCAATAGGTGTGGTATCAGAGAGCATGTTAGCTCACCTGGACAGTTGCAGGACAATTTTTTAAAAATATTACATGTAAATAATTCCATGAGAAAGACACTTTGCTGTACATTTGAAAATCAGGTCACTGTGCTTTAACAAATGCAATGCATCAGTAGCTAGATAAGCACTTGTAAGTGAGAGTCTGCCTTCTAACATCTATTATCTTTTGATTAGGGCTCATTTGTCATCACCGTGTTACCATTTACTGGGAACAGCTCACATTCTTTAAGCCATGCCCATCAAATAAAGTATTATTTATACAGCTTACTCATTACTCTTTAAAAATTTATTTTACAATACAGTATTTAAATACGATTTACAAAGTACCTGAAGCCAATGCTAAATGGAATTTGGTATTTTTGATCATCGGTACATCTCACCAGATGTTTTGACATTTAGTATCTTCATTCCATTTTGAAATTAAACTAGGAAAATTTAAATTTCTTCTATTTTTCTCACTTGAAAACCTTGTTTAATTGGCAGAAACATTGTGCTGTTTTCTAAGCTTGAGTAAAAAGCCTTTATTCACCGAATATTTTTCCTCAATTATATAAATACATACACATATACATTAAATCATACATCAAGATAAGAGGATATAGTTATCTAAAATTCTAGTTTATACTACCTTTTTGCCATTAAGGGAACCTTTCCTAACACAATCATATGTCGTAAAGTTGGTAATACTGAAAATTTGTTTAGGAATGTAAGATTTAAAATTTTAAATGTAAGACAAAATTTTTATAAAAAATTAAATTTCCCAAATTCATTCAACGCAAACATGCACACACCCCATATTCAAGCTATCACATAATTCAGGAATATTCAGAAATTCAGGAATTCCTTGTTTCCTTCTTGGTTTCAGCACTGGTTTCCTATTTTCCACTACATATTTTTTCCAGGCAAAAAAGAAAAAAGTTTTACAAAAATGTCATCTTACATAAAAAAGATGACAAAAATGTCATCTTTTAGAAAAATGTTATTTATGTATTAAAAGGGTTCTGTACATCTTTATGGACTGCTATCCTGAAAATAGTAATGCATGTATCTTTACAGCATTGCCACAAAATGAACTGCAAAGAAATTTGGTGTTTTACTTAAAGAAGAGTAAACTTTATAAATCTGCAAGAAAGAATAGAAACTGCTGTCCTGCAGGGTGAAAGGATGTATGGAATTATGTTAGATCTAGGCCCTGCAGAACATCTGCATATTATTATAACCCTAATCTATTTGGGTTGGCATCTATTGCTTACATATAGGAGACAGGGCTTAGCATTGAAAATCCAGCTCTCTCTGTGTGCAACCTGTAGAAGTACCTACTTGTACAAATTACTGTGTTGAAAAGGCTGCATGCCATATGTAAGTGTGCATATACAGTGGACCGTACATTTCTAATACGATTCTATATATCTTTTGACAGCCATACTTGATCTATAGCAATGCCTGAAACTTTTTTCAGTTTAAAAGTTTATGTATTTAGAAAGCAGCATCTAAATGTAATTTCCTCAAGAACCTGAAAAAGAATAATCACAGGCAAACTAGAAACAAAGAAAGTCTACCTTGCATATCATTACAGCTTCATCAGTAATATACTAAATATTGAAGGCTGCATTTATAAAAGTTTACCACATAAGACAGTAGATATTTTCAGCATGTGACATTTTCAGATTTCTCAAGTACTATTTAGGAGTAAAGAGCAATCCAAATGCCCTCAGTGACAATGGAGTTGTCCAGGAAGAGTTATTAAAAAGCTTTATCATATTTTTTTTACATTTTAATGCCACAAATTAAACATCAGATTATAATATTATGGGCAGGCATGGCATTTTCCTTCCCAAATGCTGAGCACCTCTTAGCATTTGATCCTTTAAAAATTCAAGCATGTAAATACATATTCCTAGCAATATTCAGGTTTGAAAAAAATGTGTTAATAAAGCACATTTGCAAGATGAAAAAGGCTCTGTTTCCAAAGAAACTAATGCATTGCCAATGGTTTACTGTAGTGGAGCACTGCTGTAAGACACATGGCTACAATAATACCCAGCTCTATTACAGGCACAAACAATACTGCATTAGTATTGTTAGCCAAGTTATAAGAATAATTACCCTGATTGCAGTCATTTCCCACTTTCCTAGAGGTTCCTTCCTTTAAGGGTTGATTCCAATGCTCATTAAACCAAAAATGTCCAAAGTCATCTCTTTATATTTATCCCTAAAAAGTTGGCAAAAGCATCTGCTAAAATCTGCCAATTAAAGTTAGCACATTTTTCAGCAGGGAATAAATTGGACTGTTTTTTCTGAAGCGCTTGCCTATCCATTGAAGAGTGACCCACCCTAACACTTACCCTGCACTGCTAGTACTGGACTATGTTTTATTTCCCAAAGATACCTGCAAAGTTTATAGAAGAATATCTTTCGGGGTATCTTATCCATATTGTCCAAAGGTTTCAGGAAAAAAATAATAATGAGCACCTTGAGTAAATCACACATACGCAATTGCATTCAACATCTCCATGTTGAATAAGCTTGAATATCTTTGTTAAAACAGAGCTGCTCTGGATCCTCAGCTACATGGAAGAAGGTTTCTTCCCAGAATTCCGCACTGAGCTTATTAGCAAACACATGCTAAAACTGAATGCATTCTTGCTGTTATTTCTTTTGTCTGTATATATCGTGGACCTCCTGACATTCTCCCTGAATCATAAACCAGCTCAGGGATTCATGACTCTCTCATGTCTCAGAAAAATACAGATTCTAAACCCTGTAGTGGTAATTTTGATGGAGACCTTACTTTTGTTCCCAGCTACTCACATCTGAAACAGAAAACTAGCTATTGTATTTTTACATTTAACCTGAATATGTGTAAATAGATTTCAGTGCCATGATAAAAGCTTCATCATAATGCCTAATGCTTCTTCATGTTGTGCCATTGCTTCATAGAATAACAGAACCATTATGGTTGGAAAAGACCTTTAAGATCATCTGTTGCTGAAGCTGCAGATCAACTTTGAGCAGGACAGACTTGACTCTAAGAACATGCAAATGCATTGGGAGTAACAGTTGTATATAGCAGTGAAGATTGATTTGGGCATGTTAGCAAATAGCTGTAAATATGAGCACTGAGAATGAACCATCAAGTTATATGAAGGTTGTAAAACACTCTCTACCGAGCCCATGCTATTGACTGTTTACAGAGGAACTAATGAAATAAGGATTTCCCCAGCAAGATAAATATTGCAAATATTGATAAGTTTTGTTTGTTCCTTTTTTTTCTTCCTTAAAAAAAACTCCGTAAGTTTTTTTTTTTTTCTTAGCTCCTCTCTTTCCCACCCTCATTACAAGAGCTAACCAACAGAGTCAGTATTTATCCCCTTGCTCCTCCCAGGCACTCTCTCTATAGCAGAAGTGCTCAGAAACTGCTCTCATGGTACAAAACATTTGGTGAAGTTGGAGGAGGACATTACAACAAAATCTAAATAAGTGGCAAGGTTCATAATCTATGTGACTGGGAGTTATGACAGGTGAGACTATGCTAACGACCTTACATGCTGAGAACAGGCTGGCCACTTTATCCATCTCGAGGAGAAGTGCTGGCTCCACAGGCAGAGAGACACAAGCATTGCAAGGAGGGCATACATCCCTGTGCTATCATGAAAACGAGCACCAAAACTGAGTAAATACTACATACACAGTAAGCAACTACTACATATGCAGTCAAAGCAGAACCTGAGCTCATGTCTGAAATATTGCCTGGCATCTGGGTGTCTGCAGAGAATCTGAGATATGCAGACTAGAACACCAGAGTGGCTAAAGAGCCATCTGCTCCTCCCAAAAATGTCCTTGTTGTCTACTGACTGCAATGGGATACAATGGCTGGAAGTCTAAAGAAGGTCAATCAGGCCAGGTCTGGAGTTGCATGCCAGGAGATAAGACCAAAGTCAACAAAGTGACTTAGATATGAAGCTTTCATGGCCCCACATATATAGTCTTTATTTTTTATAAAGCAGAACTCTCTAGCAAGTCATGAAATCATGTTCTTTAAAATAAGCTCAGATGGGAATTCACATACCCCACACAGATGCATCTAGACTTGTCAGGTCACTCACAAATATACAACGTGTGCACAAATATATGCACACATATTTCTAAAGTGCAATATATATAAGCAATATATAAGCCATAAGCCATGGTCAGCATCTTCAAGTTAATTTTAAATAAAAGCAATATAAACTGGCCTGAGTAAAAGTGATTACTCTGATCCATTTTATTTGATATTGGGAACTAAAAGAATATTCTTCATGCAGTAACAATACAGAAATTGCCCTACAAATCTCTACACTTGTTAGTCCGTTAGTGATCTGTGTACTTGAGGGTTACCAGTTGAAATAAATGTTGAAATAAATGTTTGGAAATCAAGATAAAGCCCAGGCCACATAAAAATGCAGTAAAAGTGTGTTCTTTTTCATTAATGTCTCCTTGTAGAGCAAAGCCAAAAATACCCATCACACAATATTAAACACATATACTCTGAGAAACCAATAAATGAAGATTAGTTTGTTGCTGTAAGACTTACACTATTAAACAAACCTGAAAGTGAGGAACAAACACAACTAGTATCAGGTACATCATAAACTCTTGTCCTGAATAGCCTGCAAACTTAAGTTTAGATTCACATCCAGACTCCTGTGGGGATTAAATTTTAAGTGTAAATTCCAATTTCCAAAGGATTTCCAAAGTATCCAGGTGGCGACCTGAAATCCAGGCTCAAGCACACAGGACATCTCCAACTGGAGCAATGTCTACCAAGACTATTAACCTATTAAC